TGAGCGGCTCGTCGGTATGGGAGACGTACGGGGCTGCCGTAATAAAAACTTTTTTCGCCCTTTTGAAGGAAGGGAAGATGCTGCTCAAACGGAGCGAGTGAGAGCCGGGAGTTTGAATTTGGTGCCGAACAAGGCACCTTTCTCACTTTAAAATATAAGCCTCGCTACGGGCAGGCTTTAGGCCTCTTATGCGTGACTGGAAAATAATTAGTGTAATCACAAATTAATCGGGGGGTTAAAATTACAGACCTGGTGTTTTTCTGGAGAGAGAGGGGGTTGGGGTATTGCCCCGGTAAAATGCTTTCACCTTTCTGTCTGTGAGGATTTTTGCCGATGAAAAGCTGAGGTTTTGTGCTGGCTCTGCTGTTACTTGCTAAGCTGAGGTTTGACTCGGTTTTAACTAGGAGGAGGTTTTTGTTTGTTTCTTGAAAAAATACTTCAGACGTAGGACTTTCTTGACCAAATTGAATTTTAATGACAGAAAACTCCCGTGGTTTGGATGAGATGTGTTTCGATTCTGATTTTTCACAGACTTACTTTGGCAGGTTATGTAATTTCCTTAGGCTGAAGTTCTTTAAAACGAAAATACTTGCATTCTCTTTACCGTGTGTGGCTGTGATCGAGAGAAATATCTTTAAAAAACGGTAACAATCAGATATCCTAATATATGATCTCTAGTTAGCACCTAGGAGAGGAAAGCAAGTATATTACACTTAGGATATGATGTGTTTGGAAAGTCCTGCAGAACTTAGCATAGGAAATGGTTAATATTCTTTCCCCTCTGTGTACATGCAGCTTTTTTTTTTTTTCTTGATAGGTGAAGCTATAAGTATTTCACATTGTCTTTTTGGATGAAAGTAAACCTTGTGGATGGCCTTTGGAAAGCTGCAACTGAATCATGGTCTTGTCACCACCCCTCTTTGATTCCAGAGGGATTAGATAGTAGTTTGAGGCCTTCCTTGCTTCTTTATTTTGAATTGTAGCAAGAGAACATCAATTATAATTCTTCGTTGGCTTGTGATGAATGCAAATGTGGTGTTTGAAGTCTCACTTTCATTTCCTCTGTTCTATTGTACCCAGCAGGTACTGTCTGTGATGCAATTGCTATGGTTGAGGATTAGAAAGCTTGCTTCTGCAAACAGCTTGGTGGTCCCAGCTCACCCTTATCTTAATTTATTTCTTGTCCTGTGAATCTTTGCTGTGCATATCATGGTAATCTGTCTTGATTGGTTTTCTCTTGCCTATAAGGAGCTTTCTCTTAACTGTTGAATCTTTGGGAAATTCAGCTCGTGTCATAAATGGAAAAAATGAGGCAATGTTGGTGATTATCTGATCTGAGACAAAGATCACTACATGAACCTGGAATTTTAAAATAAGTAGTGTCTGCAGGAGATACTGCCTGTCGAGTTTGTCAGAAAAGCTGGAATACTTTTTTTTCCTTCTGACTCACTAAAATGTGAGCCTGTCAAAATTGAATGTATTGTGAGAAGGCTTTTGGTACACTTTTTTTTTTTTTTTAAAGATTAATTCTCTGTGGCCTTATCTGAAACTTGTTCAAGGACACTTGCTTTCTGAAGTTCTTTTTCCAGATTCTGTATGCAGAGGGTGGCTCAGGACTGCAGTAAAATGCTGTGTAGTCGTTGTTTCTCCAGCATCTGTTCTCTGGTAGAATATTATCATTTCAGTGGTAAACCAGAGGTGGGAAGTTACCAGTTTGGATGAGATTTTATATTACTGTATTTTTTAGCTGTCTTCAAATAATTTGCATGCTGCTTTTTTGTTTTGAAATGAATAATGTGTGACTGGGGAACACAGGTTATTACAGCAGGCTTTTTTTATGGTTGTATAAAAATTGGAGGGGAGTTTACATTAAACACTTGACCTTTTATTCACACTTGCTTTCTGAATAGACTCCTTTTTTTTCCTTGAACAGGCAAAGTTTTTAGTCTATTTTGATGTTTGTTGGTTCTGGTGTTGTTTTTTTTGTGTTGTTGGGTTTTTTTCTGCAAGGTAACTGCATATATGACTGATTAGTTTGCATCTAGAACATTAGTTTTTAGCTGTTTCGGTAAAGTGTTGAGATTAAAAAAGGGTGGGATGGAGCATTAATCTATGCTAAATTGCTGCTTCATTCTTACTGTGACCACATGTTGTCACCTGCCTGATGCTTATTTTGTTTATGGAATGACTGTGGTCCAGTCACTTTATTTCCATGCTTCTGTTTATTTGTCAGTAACTCAAGGTCAGTTTAGAACTCTTTCTTGTATTTACTGTATGTCATTGTACATGAGATAGCTATTGTAATTTCCAAAATAATGGCAACGGAAATGTTTTTAACTTCTCCGGTGGCTGAATCACTGTAAGTGATTCCTTTTTGGAATTAAGTTTAAAACAGGATGGTTCTTTCATAACTTCTGTCAGCCCTTATGATAGCTTTTTGGCAGAGAAGTTCAAAGAACTTCCATCTTATACTTCAGAGCTAGGAAAGAAGAAATCTACTTTTGTGAAATGGTATGCTGTTTCCTAACTCTGTAATCTTGTACGTTTTCAGACTGATTATTAAACAATACAGTAACAACCTCCCTCGTTGCAGAAAAAAAAAGAAGTACTTTAGATGGCTTCAGAATTCCTTGAGGATTTACAATACCACAGGAACTAAGAAAAGTAATGACTAAAAGTAATGCAATTTCTAGATGCTCTCTTGGCTAGATGGGAATGTTGTGTGGGTGGTTTGTTGGTTTGTTGTTTTTTTTTTGTAATAAAAGCATTTTCTACACAACATAAAATGGCAATTTTCTAAGAAAATCTACATTTTTAGTCTAGGAAAATATTTTGGAGCAACCTTTGCTAATTCTGATGGTACTAGGGAAATAACTACTTGTCTACAACTTGGTTTAAAAACCACTGGCAATATTCTGACAAGTATTACTGCTGGCAATTAGTAATCTAAAAAGGTACCTTAATAGTATGTCTCATATTTGAGGTAGAACTCAAGTTGCCATTAACTTTTTTTTGGGTCAGAGTTTTTTACTCCCAAAATACTGTTTTGATATCACAGGACAATGATGAGCTCTAAAAATCTTTAATTTATGAAAAGAAAATATATTAAAGTACCATTTATAGTGATCTGTAATTTTTCAGTGAGCTGTTATGCTTGTGATAGTAAGTATAGCAAAATAACAAAGTATTTTTACTGTTTAAACAGTTAATGTTCTACTTCCTATTAAAAAAAAAAAAAAGGGTGGGTGGGCATAATGTTCTGTAGCAATATAAAGAGGGACAAGTTGTTTCTTTGTGGCTCTGAGCTGCTGATAATCTGTGCTTTCTCAAACTGATATTTCAAAACTGAATTCTGGGAGGCAGGTGTGAGGGTGACAAACCTTCTGTGAGTCATTTTAGTGCATACTGTAGCTAACAAGCAACTGCTGACCATTGAGTAGGAAAATTCTGTCATCTTTTATGTAACTCTGAAATCCCAGAGCAGGATCTCTCCTCTAGCTGCTTACACAAGAAGATAGGTAGGTAGCAATTTCCACCACTACCTTCCCTTTCCTCTGTGCTATGTTAATTTGTGTGACTTGTTTGATCTTTGCTGTGGAGACAAAAATGCAGATTATAGTAAAATTGTGGTATCTCAGTGAAGTATGGTATCTGTCTTGCAGTTGCCAGAGGTTGGTGAATTGCTCAAAACAGCAGACTGCGTCTGTATTTAAGATTTTCTAATGACTGGTTTCTATTGGTCTGAGCAGGCAGCTGAAGCTGGCAAAAACTAGTATAATAATACAATATGTGCCATACCACTTTGTTCATGTTGAATGTAAGCAAGGCCATTTTCTCCTTTTTCTGTTGGATGAGCTTCAAAAAGACCAACCAAAACTGGAGATGGAGCCTAGTAAGATGCTTATTACATTTAGTACGTTTTCTGAGCTAATGGTAAAATAAATGGTTTAGAAATCCTACAAACCACTTCTGTATGGATAGTACATAGGATAAAGATTCCATTACAACTTTTAGCAAAACATGGCAATTAACTTCTCAGTAATTTTGTTTAAATAGCATTCACTCTCTGAAATAAAGGTGAGATGTGAGCTGAATGCTATAGAGATTATATGACAGTGCAAATAGTAGCAAAAAAAATCTGATATGTTGAACTGTGATCAGATTTGTTGATGGTAATAACTGTGCTATGAACAGAAAAGTAATGGGATGTTTTCATTGCTTAAGTTTTGAGGTGGAGACTTTTCTGTGCACCTCTGAAGCGCATAAAATGGCGGTGTAGTAAATAGGTGTAAAAACATGTGGGACACTAGTAAATGGTATTTCATGTGTCCTGTGGTTTGGTGGCCCTAAAATTAGTACCTGCCCACAGCAGCATTCAGTGGGGGTATGAGTAGCACAAACCAAGACCTGTGCATGCTGTGAATATGCCAGTGATTCAAAATAGTTCTGAAGATTGCGTTTTCTCTCTTACTTCTCAGAATTAAGTCACTGAGATCAGAGGATAAAAGCTTAATTATTGCGTTGGCTGCAAACACTGCCTTTCACACCAGGTGGAGGTTTCTGCTGCTTTCCCTGTCATACCAAATCATCTCTTCTGCAGCTTTTGAGGAAGGAGCCCAAAATACTCTCAGTGGTGGTGCCAGTGTCTTCAGATTTCCCTGACAAGCTTGTTCTTCAGTATGATCAGGCATTATCAAACATTTATAGAATATTGAATATGTGGTCAGGGCTTAATTTAAAGTATGATTGGAACAGTAGTATTGCATTTAAAAGACTTAGTATTGTTAGAATTTCTGAAACAGTTGTAAAATCTAGGTATTTTGCTCCAGTATTTGTCTGAGTTGATGAAGCTCATGAATCTTAGTAAGTTGTTGTTCACCTACAGAGCAAAAGTAGCAGGTGCAACAATGGGATAGGTTTCAGGATGCTAGTGTATGTTTATTGAATACAGGAACTTCAAAACAGATAAATTATGACTTATGGTAGATAGAATTACAGACTACAACTCAATACTTAATTTAAAAATGTAAAACCTGACTACTTGATACTTTCCCCCCTGCCTCCTCTTGGTAGAGTATCAGCTCATACTGTGGAGTTACTGAACTGGCACCAGAGCTTCGTTATTCTTTGAGCATTATAATTGCACTGCATTTTCCTCAAAGCTGATCTGAAATATTTGCATATGACTTGTAAGCCAGCAGAAATAAGGATTTATGTAACTCACTTAATTGTCAAGTGCAAGTTAATTGGCATCTGCTGTTTAAGATGAATTTAACTCATGTATCCAGTTGTGATGCAACTGGAGTTTCTGCCATGTTAATTATCAAGTGCAGACTAGTCCTTGCCTGTTGGGAGTAGATCTAATTTACAGCATGTATAAATAAAAAAGTTGACCTGAAACTTAGTCAGTTAAAAACTAAAAATCTTAAAAGTAAATGTCATGCAGCTAATCTAAAACTACAGTCATTTTCATATCTCTTTCTTGATCTTTTTTAAGGAATAGTAAAGATGTAAGTCAGAGAAATAAACTGTACTAAGGAAAGGAGAACTGACTGTGTAGCACACTGAGTCATGTCCAGCATAAACTCAGTGGTTCTTTTACTTCTTTTTAGGTATCCCTTTTAAAAATTAAAATTGTAAGTCATGGTCAACCTATAATCCTCTTCTGGTCTTTGATGGAAATCCTAGTACAGCTTCCCCTGCTTTGTTATAACAGAAGTTAGACCCTGACTGGGGTGTGGGGAGCTTTCAGTTTCCCAGTCTGGGGTTCATTTTGCCTTGATTGAGGCAAGTTTGGCCTCCCATTTGTAACGCAGCTGCAATACGTAAGTGATCAGATGGGGTTGTTTATGCTTGCATTCTACTTGGGCATTACATGCAGTGTTAAATGTTAAAGGAATAGGTATTTGATGTTTTCAAGAGTGACACTTAACACTCATGTTCCAAGAATTAAAAAATGAATGAAAGCACTGCTGAAAGTTTTATTTATTGCGCTGGCCTGCTGGAAATACTCCTGTTCTAGGTAATAACATGTTCTTATTGCTTGTGTTTATCCAGAATGATTCCTCACAGTGTTTTAACATTGTGTACAAATTCCTTTTTATTTTGTTGTTTCATAGGAACCTCCAGAAGCTAAGTCTCTTTGGGGATATAAGCATTCTGCAGCAACATGGAAGTATATCTAATACATACCTCGGCAAGGTTGACCCTGATGGCAAGAAGATTAAGCAGTAAGTTATATTTGTAAATTATCAAATAGATTAAAATAATAAAAACTTGTAACAAAACACAGATGTTGATGCTTGAAGTATGTGACTGAGAAAGCTAAGTTTTTCAATAGGATGAAAATTAAAATTCTTAAATTGAATTTATTTCTGTTCCAACTATTTAATGGTTTTGTGGCTTTTTTCTTTTCCTTTCTCAGCAGGGTGAGAATCCTTTTATGTTTTCATTGTGTTCTAGAAACAATATTATGTTAATGATACAAAAGGGGAGGAGGGATGAGAGGGGTTGTTACCAAGGACCTCTGCTGTACATGAAAAAATTAGAAAAGGAAGCAATCTGTTGTATTTCACAAGAATTGAGGACATGTAGCAAGTAAACTTGAAAGAGAGTATAAACACGAGGAACTTGTTTTAAGTTGCATCTCAAAACTGAGTTATGTGTTTGCAGAATAACTGGAAGACCATAGCTCACAGAGTGCTTGCTTAGTTCAGAGGTGTGTTTTAGCTTGCCTTAATTACATTATGGTACAGTCCTTAAATGCTTATACCCAAAACAGCTGGTAGTCTTCTTTGGAAGAGGTTAAATACAATATAAAAACCTACTGATTTCTGGAATAAATTAGCACAGAGGGAATGATGCTAAGTTAAGTATTTGGGAACTCCCAGTACCTGAAAGGGGCCTACAGGAAAGCTGGGGACAGACTTTTTACAGGGGCATGTAGTGAGATGACAAAGAGTTGTGGCTTGAAACTGTAAGAGGGGAGATTTAGATAAGGTATTAGGAAGAAATCTTTCCTGCGAGGGTGCTGAGACGCTGGAACAAGCTGCCCAGGGAAGTTGTTAATGACACCTCAAGGGACCAGGTTGGATGGGGCTTTGAGTAACCTTGTCTAGTGGGACATGCCCCTGCCCATGGCAGGGGAGTTGGAACTAGATGATCTTTAAGGTCCCTTCCAACCCAAACCTTTCTGTGATTGTAGCAGTTCTGCTAAAACTTTCCATATAGATAAAACCTGAATACTATAATTTACATGTCTCAGTTTAAACACCTTTCTCCCAGTAGCTTGGGAGTAGCCTCTCTAGATATTTACTATTACACTGGTTCTAAAACCACTATAAAAAGTTGGTACATTATCAGAGCAGTGTATTTATGTGAACATAACTCTAGAACTAAATGTTTGGTCCTGTTAAATGTCCAAAATAGTGCAAATACAGATGTGTGTCACATACTGTGTCTTTGCCATCCAATATGCTTAGAATGCAGAACTTAGAGCAATTTGGGATATATTTAATATATGTAACATAGTGCTGTGTGCAGGTAAAAGGCTGATTCAGTAAAAACTCCTTTTTTAATATCCTCTGTTGTGAAAACATGAATATATAATCAAATCTTTGCCAAGGGCCTTCAAGAGAGACATCTAAACATGTTTACTCAGCTGAGGTCATGGTTAAACATGTCTTCAAATAAATAACAAAAATAAGCACATTTCAGAGCCATAAACTGTTCAAAACTCATTATCTAATTTGACATTAGTCTTTTGGGTGAATATTGACCTTTGTTCATTTTGGAATGAGAAAATAAATACTAGTTCTTCTTTGTTTGATTGGGGTTTTTTGCAAGATTAAAACAATGTCATCATTTGGGACCTGCTAGTCCTTTTCTAAGTCAAAGGAAAGCTGGCAATGTTTTATTCAGTGTTCTCAAGTTCATCAGCACTAGCAGAAGATTTTACTTCAGGAATTAAACCTTTGTGGCTCCTTTATCCTGTCTTTTGCACTTTGTATCAGTGAAGTTGCAAAAATGGATGCTGAAAGATACTGAGCAACCTTTGGAGACAGCATTATTGGTAATTAAGGATTTTTGGAGCCCATGTGCTGATCAACCTTACTAGCTGTTTCAGGAACTTCCTGCAATTAAAGCAGCAAGGGAAGAAAACGTAACACTTCCTTAAGTTCACAGCATGAGTTGGATGTAACAAACAGTGTGTAAAATCTCAGCTATTGCAGAACTATTAGGATGCTCTTTCTCCCAGGCTAAGACTGAGGGTTGTTCTGAGGGAGAGGAGGCATTGTGTTGCATTTTCAAAAATGTACTTTTGCGCAATGGTGAGCATGAGTTTGTAATCCTTGCTCTTTTTCTGTATGGCATATGCGTTCCTGGTTGCTTTCGAAGTACTCTTTGCAACTTAGTTCATTACTGTTGGGAAGCTCAGCATAAACAATACATTTGTCTTGGGTTGAACAAAGGGTAGTTGTATAAAATTTTGGCTTTCTGAGCTCTGCTTCCCATGATTGATCCATGTGGTTCAGATAGTTTGGTTTCCAAAAGAACCAGTTTAGCCTCTGTTATTAAACAAAACATTTTTATTTATAGTCTTTAATTAAACAAATAGGCTCCATGTAGACCATAGTAACATGTTAGCTTCCTGTCCCAGGGCCATCCATGTGCTTCAGTACTGGTCAGGACTGTTTTCTGGGCTTAGACGGTAAATCAGCTTGTCTAGTCTGGTCTGTCCTCTGGCTGAAAGCCCCATTTGGGGCATTAGTTGTGAAAGTAATGTATTTTGAGGTTTTTGCTTTTTAAATAATTTGCTCCAGTACAGTAATTTGTAGTTTCAGGTTAATGGTGTACATCCCATAATTGCTGCTTACAGGGGGCAAAGGGGACTGAAGTACACTTGTTGAGGCCTCACTAGGTTGTATTGCTGTCATGAGAAGGCAAAAAGCCATGTGTGTGAGAGTGGTGCAGATGTTAGGTGAAGAGAACCCTCCTGTTGGGGCCACAGGGTTTCAGGCTACAGCCCCCTGCTGTCCAGCAGCCCTCATGTAGTGGGTTGCTGGGGGCAGCCACATTGCAATGTGACATCCCAGGTCTTAATCAGTGGTTTATGACTGAAGGATTGTGTGTATATGTGTACAACCACTAAACAATGTTTGTCTGTCCCCCTGTCTTCAAGTGAGGCCTGCAAGGAGAGTGGATTCACGAAGCGGGAAACACGAATTTGTTAGATATAAATGTAAGGTGATTTATTAAGGTGACAGATGTAAGAAGTTCGAGATGGCCTTTGATAAATGCACAGACTACAATAGTGCTTCTAATAGATGTTAATATTGCTAGCAATAATAATTTAAAGTATTATACAGGGTATACCTGGGCATGCTTTTCACCCCTATCCAAAAGGTGAAAGTCATGGTAACTTGCCCAAGGAGGCATCCCTGCCTGGGAGGAAGATAAGTGGATCAGACCCATCAACCCACTCTAGGGGAGGTGCTCTTCTTGCCCTGAAAAGAAGGATTCAGAGACTAATTTATTACCTATTGATGAAAGGGGACTTAGGTCATAACTAGTGTATGATTAGTTCTTAATAGACTAATAATGTTTATTAAGAAAAAGGTAAGGGAGGTGCCCAGTGCCTGCCTCATATGTAAATGCAGGCTTTATTAATGCGCAGGGCTAGCTTTGTATGCAAATCACCAGATGAAGTCCCACAGGCTTGGATCCAGATATTTATTGTACCACCACTGATCATGGGGCCTTCACTTCACGTCACAAGTCATGCCCAGTTGAGCCATGTAGCCATTAGGCACCTGGGTTTGATGATAAGCAGACAAGGACAGTGATATATCCCTTCCAGCCAGTAAGTCAGGCCTATCCTCCCTACTGGACATTAATTTGTCTACTTGTCAGGTCCAAGGCCGAATACCCAATTAAGCACTGCCCATCTCACAGTCCTCTGCACAGGTCCTTCCAAGAAAGTTAAAACAGAGAATAATCCAAGTTCTGTTTTCCCATGATTGCTTTCTTGCATGTGCTGAGCTCTGCTTACATTTTCTTTTATACTTACTAAAACATGTTTAAACTTTAGTTTTATAAGTGAAATTTAAGATAGCCGTGTGCAAGTTAGGATAAGTGTACAGTTATCCTAGGGATAATTGTTGTATAGTTGAAGTAAAAGTTAATATAGAAAAGTAGGTGTCAATTCCCTAGAATTCACTTAATGTGTCTAAATTTCTGGAATGCAGTTCAAGCTATTTTTGCAGACTCCAGTTAAGAAAAATAGGATGTGCTTAAGAATATTGCAGGGAAGAAAACCCTCTGTTAGGGTGTTTTGAAAATTATTTCAAATATTTTAAAACTAATGCTTCCTGTCTAGCCTTCTATAAAGCAGGCATTAAAAACAATCCAAAAGTGATCACTATTAACTATTCTCTATTGACATATTTAATCTCTTTTTGGCAAGGAGCTCAGGGGAGGTGGCTGGAAAGTGTTTTGTTAGATTTTTTTAGGATCCACAGGTTGATAGACTTACAGGCACAAATCTAAATGCTTGTATAAATACTCGGTCATTTGCACTAAAAGTTAGTGTCAATAGTATTAAATCATTTTCTCTCTTTTAAAGTTATTAGAGCAATTTCCATAGGGGAGAAAGCCCAACTTACATCTGTAAAATTTTGTATAGTTTTTCTTTTCATCTTTTCAATTGTTCCATAAAATGTTAGATGTGCTATTAAGATTGACTACTGGGAGTATTACAAAATCAATTCTACTATTGCTGCAGCCATTACAGAAGCTTTTGTAGATGTGTATGGTAAGAGAAGGAAGGGAAGAGTCTTTGTTTATTGGAAGAAGTTAAGAGAAGTTCTTGTGTTAGAATTTGGGGGATTGTCAGAGAATCTGCCTTCAGTTTAAGCATTGGCAGGAATAATTACGAAACAAATGTTGCCAGGATCAAACAAGTCTCATCTAATTGTAAAAGAATTTAGGAATAAAATACCAAAACTGCATTATCTGTAACTCTTGACATGTTGTTTAAAACTGTTTATTTTGCATAGCAGTTGCCAGTCCTCAATTAAAAAAAAAAACAACAACAAAACAAACAACAAGATCTGGAAACGCTGAAGTCTTTAAACCTGATGTTTATACTGGGGGAAATGTTGGGAAGTATTCTGAGGTGTGTAATAGATAAATAACCACTCCAACTTTCCCACTTCCAAAGAGAAGTCATGGCTGCAAACCCAGTATGTTCTTAGGAGGAAAGCATATGCAGGCCAGGGACAGGATCAATAGGGATTTGCGGAGGGCGAGGATGAATAAGGATTGATCTTTTAACTTTCTTACAACAGAAGGATTATGGGGCATCAAAGGTAGTAGGTGAGAGGTTCAGAGCAAGCAAGAATAGGGCAGAATTGTAGTGCAGAGATCTCTATTATTGGATGTTACAGTTGCTAAAAACTTACTTGGTGCAAAGAGGAGCCTGGATACATTTGTCGATGTGAGGTCTCTGGAGTTCCTATGTAGAGAAACACACCTCTCGCTCAGGTGCGAATTTTTACAAACTGTAAAGATATTTGGGCAATATCCCTATGTTCTGTTGGACTCAGTGTTTCTCTGCTGTTGGTCAGGATACTGGGCTAAATAAGCCTTTAGTTTTGTCTGGACATTATCTCAATTAAAGATACTTGGATGAGAATGATAACTTTGTAACGTTATTTTGCTTAAATGTTGAAAGTGTACAGATATATATAACAATAAAGGAAAAAATGTTCTGTGCACATCATTATCTGATTTGAGACACGACATTTCTGCTATTTTTGTACTGGAGATGTTTACATTTTATTTCTTGATGTTTCATGGAACTGTCATAGCCTTTCTTTCTGGCTGACCAGCATTTGAGTTTAAGTGCTCGTCTGCAGACGCATTCTAAAATGTATATGCTCCAAGAACACTTGTCATTTGGACAGGAGGACTCTTTTGGACCTTAGCAGCTGTAGGATGAAGACCAGAAAAATATTTATTTGGAGAAAGTTTGTAGAGTTTGACTGCACTATTTGGATTTAATATTTAAAACTATCCTAAAATATTTTTGTTACATTCTTGAATGATCTTAAAGGACTTCATTAAAAAAAATAAGGGGGTAGGAGAGGTGGGGTGCATCAGTACATGATATGAGTACATGAATGAGTACATGATCATGATGGAGAGTAAGTGGCATGAGGATTCTGGCAGTGCCAGAATCATCTGGCACTGATAATCTGAGGTTGAAATGTTACCACCTCGAAGTTGTTTTGGTAAAATGTGAACCTGTTAACACTTGAAAAATCAAGTTAGTTGTACATTTGGAATTATTTTAAGACTCTTCTTATGTATTTGTTCTTTATCTTTTCAAAGTTGAGCAGGTAGTTTCAGATCAATCTAAGTTATGCTCAAAGTCAATTTTCTGCAGCCTTTCAATGAAAATTACTTAATTTTTTTCCATATTGAACTTGCAGTTCTGGAGAGGTTAGCAAATATGAAATGCATTTTAAAAACAAGAACTGTTTATAAAAGCATTACAGGTTTTCTTATTTGCATAACCTTAAAATGTATGTGGGAGGGTGTTAAATACATGCTGGAAAATACATAAAATGAAGGTTCATGGTGTGCCACTGTTTTTGAAAGAAAGTAGATAATTTTTCTCATAGTTTACAATTTTAACCTTTTAAGAGCAGCAAAAGTTTGAATTGATGTGGGAGGTCTGCAGAGTCAGGTTTTAACATTCGTAGTTCACAAGAGCCATAATAATAGCACCTTCCTGCAGAGTAAAGCCCTAAATTAAGTAAGAATAATTATTGGATGAAAAAATAGAATGGCATGCAGTTGGTAAGGTTAAACCATGTTTAATAGGATCATTGTCTGTTTTGTTTATTGCAGAATCCAACAGCTGTTTGAAGAGATATTAGGCAATAGCAGGCAATTGAAATGGCTGTCTTGTGGGTTTATGCTGCAGATAGTAACTCCCACGTCGTTGTCCTCCTTATCAAACCCCATAGCCAACACCATGGAACATCTGAGCTTACTGGACAACCACATCCCTGGTAATACCACCCTTATCACTGCGGTTGAATTGGAGCGCTTTGTCAATCTGCGTTCACTTGCTTTGGATTTCTGTGATTTTACAGCTGAAATGGCAAGAGTCCTGGCTGACAGCAATCATGTGCCTTTGCATCGACTGTCTCTCCTGGTCCACAGTGTTTCCATAATGCACAAGTCATTGGACAGTATGCCAGAAGATGAGAATTGGAAGGCGCTGACTCGCAACAGCACTAATCTTCGGGTCTATATAATGGCTTTTGATGTCAAGAGTGATGATATGCTAAGGATTCTTAAGCCCAGTATCCCTCTAGAGAGGATTCACTTTGACAGCTACATCACTTGTGTTTCAGGAGCTGTTGTTGACCTCATATCGAGGCAGTATGACAAGTTCCTCACTCATTTTATACTCATGAATGATGTGATAGATATGTCTGGCTTCCCAGATCTTAGTGACAACCGGAATGAAGATCCACTTGTCTTACTAGCCTGGAGGTGCACAAGACTGTCTCTCCTAGCTGTTCATGGTAGGTAATACATTGCAAGGGAATATATGGTATGTGAATTTGAATACCCACAACACTTCACTCTTAGTGGAGTGGTTTTCAGAAGTCTGCTGAACAGTTACTGTACACACTCTTGCACCTTATACTGGTATTTTCATGTCTGAAAATATTAAGACGTTTACTGTGTATGAGTTCTAAACATACTTGTAGCTTGCTAACTTCTATTGAGGAGTCACATAGGATTTTATTAGACTGCTCACAGAAATGAGGATAACTAAGAATTGAATGTTCCAGGAGGCTTATCCTGAAAGTGGATAGGCAACACTGTGCACACCAAGTGGCTGGTTATGTGAATATGAACACTGAAAACGTTTGCTGTTTTACTGTGAGCTCACAGGCTTGCAAGATTAGATCGTTGTTCTCCCTGTCTGTAAATAACATGGGTTAAGTGTCCCAAGGCTGAGGAGAGGAAGCCTGTTACCAGTTTTGTAAGATTTTACCAGCAGATGAAGGCTGAAAAATACGATGTGGAGAAGCTTGCTTCACTGAATGCATTAGTTTCACCAGTAGTATCAGATCTAGATTTTTCCCACCTATCTATTTGCCATATAATTGCAAATAATTTTTTTAAAGTGTGCATTTATATGCAACTCCATCATCAGTACAGTACTTGTTAGAAGTTAAGAGTAGTTTGGCAAATTTTTCGGTACCTGAAACTGGAATAATGCAGAACAGTTCTTTTTGTTTGTGCTGGAATCAGCTTACCAAGACTAAGTTTGCCAATGCATGAAGGACTTAAGTGATGACTCTGTGTTCTGTTGCATAAGAAGGAATATTCAGACTGCTTGGAGGAGAAAATCTCCAGTCATTCAGCACAAACAGGAGAGACCTTCAGCAGTGAAGGTTGTGCATTCAGGTTTCTGTTGGTTGAGGCCAGAAAGTCCTGCTTTGTTTGCTACAAAAAGTTTTTCCACAGTTCTTTGCTGAAAAATCATGGGGAAAAATAATAAATTTGTCTCCCTTTTATAGTTTCCAGACATGACAGATTTTGGAAACTAATACATTACCTTACCACTCTAGATGTTTATTTTAGCAGTTTCTTTTAACACTTGGCTACAAATTTTTAAGACCTTTTTTTTAAAAAAATATCTTTTTAATTGTGTTGTCCTAAATTATCCTTGTACTACAGAGAAATCCTTTTATGTATTATATAAACTTAAAAATATGGTAAAATATTTGGACATAAAGTATTTGGATAAAATTTGGATAAGTATCATTTAATATTAACATGTCTATTCAGTAGAAGGTATTAGACTGTGCAGAGCATTGGGAAAGCAAAAACCTACAATTCTGTCTAGCTGCATTTTCTTTCCTTGGTAGCTGCTGTGTGTACCTGGGGGAGAGAGTGGCCAAATACCACTGTTGTTCTGATGCTGGGATTTCAGATGCTTTCCTCTTTTTATCTCTCCTCCTTAGCTAGCTAAGCTGCTTATAAATGATATTTTTTTAGGCTGTGAATATGACTTTTCTGGTACTATAGCATAAGCGTTTTTCTTCTGGAGTAGCAACTGAGAAGAACATGACTAGGAAGAAAGATCTAGAGTGCTGTGATGCTGCAGTAAGCATCTTAGCCTCATGTTTGTATTTTCAGAATTTTACCAAGTTATGGTTTCTAGCTCCATTTGTCATTGTTCATGATTCTATTAAGCTTCCTTCAGGAAGCTCTGAAAAAGGCTTTGATTTACATATAGTTATGGCTGCCACTTCTCACTGACCAACAGAGAAAACATGTCTTAAGGACATACTTTTCCTTGGGTGCCTCGAGATTCTCTTCTGTCTTTTATGGGAAGCTATATCGTCTTTCCACCAAAGTGGCATCTTCAGGAGCAGAGGAGAACTGATGGAAGGATATTAAATGCATTCATGGAGAGTGAAGGAAGGGTGTGAAGAATGGGTAGTCATTTGGGGTGGGGACAGTAGAATAGCCAGAGTGGTAAGATTTAGCACTGGAAATAAAACCCACGGCCCATGAATGGGGGCTGAATTCCGCCCCCCTCCCCTTAAGAGAATGACACTTCATGTGTATTTTCAGGACCATGTTGTAAACACACAGTGTTACCTATGAGATTCTGTTTTATTCTGCCTGTGAGCAAAACTGAAGTTGAAATTTTTATTAGCATGGGAGAACAAACTAGGGTGTCCCCATGGTGAATCAGTGATACTTCCAGTGAAGTGATCATTCCGTTTCCTCTGAATACTTAGCTACTGAAAGGTAACTGAGAAACATCAGGCAAAATTTGAAAAAGGAAAGTTAATTTAAAATTAGATTAAGTTGAGAATATGATGGTTGTTCCAGACAGTACCAGGGATGTAATGGCAGTTGTTGTTCCCTTTATTCTTTCACTTTCTGTCAAGGATTTCTTCAGTAATGTCCTTTATGATCAAGATAACTAACTGGAAGGTATTGTGAGTTCCTCAGATCCTGAAGTGTCAGTGAGTGTCATTGTACAGGTGGAATTTTCCATTGAGTTTAATGTCCTACAGCCTTGTTGACGTCTTCATCTTCTGCCAACAGTTGTGCTGGAGGCGAAGTACCAGCAAATGGAAGTTGTGAGACTTCATACCAGAAATGAGCCATACTGATGTGTGCGTGCTTCTTTGCTGAAAATCTACCCTTAGCAACATATTTACAGGAAAACTTAAGAGACAAACAGTAGGAAAAAGGAAACAGAATTTTAAAATTCCCCTTTTAATTTTATGTTATCTTTGTTCTTTAACTAGCCCTCTTATTTTCATACATTATGATGTAGAGCTGGTTAACTGCTTTTGTGGAAGATCAAACCACAGTTTTTATTTAACAGCACCTTAACTTGCCCAGTTCACATACTGTGCAGACTGCAGTTTTGCTTGGGATCTAAGTGGGCATCTCACCAAGAGGCTTAGCACCTGTAAGAAAGATGATGAAGTCAGAAATGAACCTTTCCTTTTACAATGGAAGGGCTGACTTGGCAGAGCTCCCAAAGAGGTCAGTTCCCAGCTTGTCTGCAGTTTGGTTTGCATCTGAATAAGGAGGAGCTCAGCATTTGTCTTATCCAGGGTACAGAAAGCTAACAGGTAACTGGGGAGTAGGTGTTTTTAAAGAAGGATGCCAATATACACTAGTGGGAAGAGAAGGAAGCTTTATAATTGTTTCATCTCAGAATAATAAGATACCTTGTAGATTTGTGTTTTAACACTTGTGTGACACAGTTCCTGTGGAGCTGGTTGTTTTGTTTGTATTTTAGTTAGTTTGTTATTTAAAGTCTACCTCTAATGCAACAAAAACTTCAAATTTTGTTTTTAGCACAAAACAGTCCTTTTATACATTTACTTAAAATAACCACTCACTTTTTCATTCTGTTTATTTGTAATATGAAGATCACTGGAGAATCAAAAGTGTAGATGTTATTTAACTTGGAGTAAAGGAGTACCCTTTTGTACAAATGGTGAATAAACAAGATCTAGAAAAGCTTGATCAAACTACCTGGAAGAGTTTTGGTAGTTCCTTATTCAGAATATAAAAGCGTGGCTTTACTACTTGCAGCCAAAAAAAAAAAAAAGCTGTATAGGAATTCTGCCAGATGGAAGATTGTGAAATAGGTTGGGAAGGATGTTGAGATATTGGGTATTAAATATTTCAGTAAAAAAATGCCTTGTAGCAAAATAACAGAGCCACTTTCTTTATTTCTGTTTTTTTCTCCTAGGTTACACAGTTTGGGCTCATAATCTTATTGCAATTGCTCGTCTTCGAGGCTCTGACCTGAAAGTTCTGGAAGTCACAGAAGAAAGCATTGATTTTGACCAAGGAGAACTGGCTGATCAGGATGTGGATCCAGTACACAATCTCATTGAGCAAGTATCTCTCGGATTGGGTCGACCTTGGCACGCGGTAATGGACATAGAGCTTCTCAGTGTCTTCACTGAGCCAACCCGTCACTTTTACAGAGAGATGCAAAGCTTCAGTGAAGGCATTTAGCTCCTATTTACAATTCCTGTGGTTACATATGCAAGTAGGGTCCTATTATGTTTTTTTCAGTAGCGTGAATTAACCCCTTTTGTGCTGTGTTTAATCAGTATTAGCTATATAGAATTATATATGTGTATTCTACTTCTTGATCAAAGAACGTAGTCGGGTATTGGTTTAGAAGCTGCAAGTGGCAGTGTGCAGGGTTTTCACGGTTAATGGACTTGTCTACCAAACCTTACAGAGATGCAGCCAAGGGCTGTCTGAGGTTGCCGGCTAACTTGACTTTTATGGAGTAGCTGCATTTTCAATCATTTTACTCTTATATCGGAGTTCTGTGCTCAGGAGCCAACTCTTTGTAATACCCATATCCATAGCCCAGTGGATTTCTGTGCTGTCATTGTGTGCTTAATCTGGTAGCATGCTGCTTAATAGGCTTAAAGGAAGACAAGTCTATGGAGGGCTGTTCATTGTAAGACTCTCACTTTGCTTTATATTTCACGTACAGATTCTGAAGCTCTCCCAGCTTTTCTTAGCTGTTAAGTGGTCTTGTGGAACTCTAGCTTTTCAGGTACCTGTACACATAACAGATTCACTCCATAAGCTGTAATCTTTTGGATTCTTTGCAAACTCCTTGTTTATTCTCATATGCTATCATCCTGCTTAAAAGTTAGCTTTGGGCCAAAGTTTAAAAGAAAAAAAAACAAACCAAGAAAGTGCACTCCGATGAGGTAGAAGCGTAACAGTGAAGACTTCAATACAGAGTATACACCTGCAAACAAACATTAGTCGTGAAATCCCTAGCAACCAAGTCACTGGATTTTCTCTGTCAGCGCCTGTGTCAGCTGCCAAAGAATAGATTAAAAACGAAGAAGTGCCCACATGCTGGCAGGGGCAGGCCAACTTTTGGCCAGCCAGATACTGCTAGATTGTAATATATAAGGTCGAATTTCGACCTGTGGTACACAGCTGTGCTGTGGCTCAGTCAGCAACCTCAGAACTCTTAACAAACATGCACCTGTTTCACTGTGAATAGTGAATGTAAAGGAAGGAAAGGAAACAAATACAAAGCTTGTTCTATCACAGGTATGAGCTGCTATGATGCATGAAGAACATTCCATGAAGTATGTTTTAAAATCTTGTTATATCTGAGAGGCTTTAAAAGCCGATTTAACTGTTTCAGGGCAACCGCGGTACAGACGTGGTCTCTGTGAGACTTCCACCTGACCCCAGTTTTAAGTGGTACGAATGTTGTGCATTTAATGTTTAAAGGACAGTCTGCAATAATAAAGTAAGTGGCCAACGTGGGTGCCCAGCAGTGCTGAGACCTGGCTGCTATATTGTAAGCTTTGGAAAACACAATTTATGCAACAGATGTCCAGATATGATTCTATTTATGGAAAAAGTTTATATGTGTTTTACAAATGGTTTTACCATCTTATATTAAAATGACCTTTTGACAGGTGTGCGCTGTTTTGTCTCCAGTGAGCACATACCATGCGGATTTTATATGTACATCAGTAGAGTGAATCCACTGGCACAGTGTGTGTATATGCCAGATGTGGTGAGATTTTATCATATAAATGTGATCAGATTAAAAAAAAAACCTCCTGACAGAAAATGTAAGGAAACCAGCTGAATGTTTGAATTGATGACTGATGTTGTATGGTTTATGTTAAATGTATATTCTTTTAATCAATGAATAAAGCATTAAAAATTGATCGCTGTATAAAATACTTTATTGTATCAGCATGAAAATTTTAGAAGTAAAACGCAACATCGTTTATGAGCTGTGTATAACTGGTAGCTCCCATTGTGTTTAGGTCAGCAAAAGGGTCTAAAATAAGTCGTATGGTAATTTTTTTTAAATTTGGCTGAATTCTGTCAACACTTTTGGGGGGCGTGGAGATGCTTTGCTAAAGATCAGACTATCAGGCCAGTTAGCACAAACAGTATATCATGGTATGACGTATTAGACTGATACAGTAAACTGTGGATTGTAGAATATAGAAGACTATTTTTGAGAAATTCCTGCATCCGTTGCAATTGCTTAAATCAAAATCTAATGTGCTCAAGAAAAAAAATGTGTAGTACTTCTTTGGTGTCCCACTATTAAATAGATTATGAATACCTGCAATGTTTCGGTTTGACGTTTTATCCATGCTCAGGGTATGTAGCTGTGCATTCTGAATGAGAACTGCAGATGTCTGGTAAGCTGCTGAGGTGCTGCCATGCCCTGCAGTGGCTGCTTGTGCTGTGAGAGCTGTCGGAGTGGCTGTTCAGCGTGTGCGAGCCAAGCATGAGTTTTATTTGAGCTTCTGAACTTCGTGATAGTTCAAACCACTACCAGGTGTGAGAATTGCACTGCTTGTTGTTGAAGCAGTTTCCTAGATCATCTAGATTGGGTAGGCAAGATCATTTACCAGCTTTCTGAAGACATGTTGTGGGTTAACAAAAGATACGGTAAATGAAATTACAGCTTTCCATGTTCCAGTAAAGTGAAATAATGGGACTTGGTCTCAGTACCATTCAGGGCTCAGCCTCAGAGGGGAGGTTTATGTAGCTGTTGATCCCAGTAGTAATTGTTCAGCATCACCTGGACCTTAAATTTGATCTTAGAGTGGTCAAGATTTCTCATTGCTTCAGTGCAACTTCCTGAAGCAAATGCTTCATCCTCTGCTTTGAACAGAGTTGCAGGCTGTTAACTTTCTCTCTGCAGGCTACTGTATTTCTGTGGATAACTAGCACAGTTGTTATCCATAACATGCCTAACGCAGCTGGGAAGTAACTTGTTTACCTTTCTTTTATATAAACGTGTTTTATCTTTTTAGTCTAACCTATTTTCTGCTTTGTTTTCAATTAATCTTGAAAGGGGAGATAAGGAGCAGGAGAAACGGGTCAATTGACAGTCCTTTCACTTATTGCAGTTACAGCCACATTGCTTAAAGCGTGGCAGTAACAATGGATGCGCTCTGTGGTTACCACTCCAGGTCTGATTTTTCCATCCAGTCTGAAGTCTAATCACTGGGTATGGATTGCACTTCAAGTATGAAGTCAGTGAACTTAAACAGATACTATAATCTTTCTCACTTTACAAGTACAGGGAGTCCATTAAGGCAGGAGTGTGTGGTGAAACCAATACCTTGAGCAGTGCTGGAGAAATGCACCCCTGATTGTTCTGTTTTCTTAGAAATAAATAAAAAAGTTCGTTTTGTTGTTTGTATTTTTTGGCAGTAGTCTGAATTAAGGATGAAGGGATTCAGGATGAAGCAATTTGAAATGGAGTGTTAGGAAACACAGCCCTAATGAGGAAGGTGCACTTGTATTGGGAGTAGGGCCTGACAAACTGTGTGTAATTACTTTGAGTTTGCATAATCCTTCTCTGATTCTCTTCTATGATGAGCCCAACTGGGATTTTAAATTGTTACTCATTGTTTTTCTTAAAGAGACAGCAATGTCAGGTTAGCCTTGCTGCACTCTAGGTTTAGCCCCAGGAACCCAGAACACAAGTCCTCAGTTGTTAGAACTGGGCTGCTTTTTCTTTGGGGCGAGACAAGGCCTCCCCCGCATATGCACTATGTGGCCCTCCTCGGTTAAACAAACCTAAATACATCCTAAGGGTTATTACATCCTCTTTCCTATTGCATGAATCTGAGGTTGTTTTTAAATTGCTTGTTTGCAAAGGAATGTTTGAGCTATTACTGGGGGGGGGGGGAAAGTCTGAAATAACTCTCTTCTCTCTGCAGGATGATCTAATCCCCATACTTGTCATGCATTATCCTGGTACAGTTAACTTCTGTTTTGCCTGCAGCTTCCACCATCCCTGTGGGCATAGATTGTTCTGGTGGAGGAAGGATTTTTTGCAGACAGTGAACTTTGTTACTGGCTAGAGCAAGTACTTAACCCACACAGAGAAGAAACTGTATTTGTTCAGAAAATACAGTTGAATTCCTGTGTAGTTTGCAACCCTTAAGGTGAATTGGAAAAAAATAGAAGGGTTCTTATGATGGCTGCATAGTCAGACTGAGGCCCTCTGTGCTATCCACTGGTTCTACATACAGGGGGGTGTTGATAGTTGGCAGTTGTGGTTGTTCTCAGACTGATACCCAGGGCAAGGGTAAAACTGAAGTTTCCCTTAGGATCTGGTGCAGTCTTTCAGACAAACATAGAGCCTTTAGAAAGTAACTAATTGGCTAAAATGATGCGACAGCTGAATTAAGCTAAATAGAAGTAAAGCAATTTAACAGGGATGATGCTTTAAAATGTCTGTTGTCAGAATCTGTCAGTGAATAGCTCAAGTAAAAAGGCTTATCTAAATGCCTTTGAGGACTAAGCTAGAAATAGAAAGGAGAATAAAGAATTGCAGGAATGACTTGTGTAAGAGTGCTGCAGCTGAAATAAAGCCATGTGGAAATAATGGTAGGAGGAGGAGTACTGAGCTGGGAAACAAAAAGCTGTCTTGGCAGACTTGACCTAAGCAATTACAAAAAATAGCACACTGAGGTTTTTTTGGTAACTTCTAATTATCGGGTGTGGTGGCTGCACTTATGTTACAGGCTGGAACTGTGTTGTGTGTGTGCATGTGCAGAGAAGGGACAAGGGTTGGTAAATGCCCCTTCTCTGCTGCTACTGCAAGTGGGGGCTTGCCCTGGAAACAGCTCCTGCTATATCTCAGAGCCCCTTACCAGTGCCTGCAGTGTCAGCGGTTACATCATTCTCATGTTGAAGCTGAACTGACAGAAGTCTTCAGGCTGTACAACAGTTGGTAAAAAGAGCCAGGCTCTGCCCAGATCCAGCACTGCCCCAACATGCCTGGGCCCTGGCTGTGCCTGTTGGGATGGCTGTTACTGGGAGGGAGGAAGCAAGCTGTACCTTCACGTGAAGAGGTGGATGACGCATCATCTGCTTTGTATGCACAAAAAAATTAAGGCTGCACTTCGCCATGTCTGACTTTTAGTTAATTCTGCTTTTTTTGTGAAGCTGAGCAATTGCTACAAAGTATAAATGGATACATTTCTTGGCTCTTAATTGTCTGAAGCTGTGTTTGCTTCCACTTGTTAAATGTTTGTCACAGAAGCACATTCTTGACCACTGTTATTGTTTTTTGGGTTGTTGGTTTTTATACTTGTTTCTGTGCTTGTTCTAGACAACACCAATTCTGCTTTGCCTCACAGTTTTCATTATCTGTCCTCTGTTAGGATGAGCATGCTTACTGAAACCACCTGGCCTTTTTGTAGATAAATGCTGAGTGCTCTCATGTCAGAGGGGAAGGAACTGGGGAAGTGTTGGTTTTTTGTCCCACTCAGCTTCCCTAATGCCAGTGACTGTTAAAAGCTGAAGATTAATAAGCTGAATTAATTCA